TCTATCATTTGCATAGAAGTCTGATTGAGAATATTATGCTCATGTGGATTAAATAAAAGGACTTTGCACATGGCAGACATCTGAGGGAAGTGAGAAGACACAACAACAGCTAAATCAACGTCTAATAGTAATTTCTTAAGCTGTAAACAATCTGACACGACTGAAATTATTTTGTAGTGTTTGTGAAGAAAAATTTTAAAAATCTATATAAATTAATATTTGATAAAATGAACAAATTAAACAGATTCAAATTATAGCAGACACTTTCTAATAATTAATTAATATTCCTTTAATTAATCAGTTTCAGGCAAAATAAACCTCTTTCTACAAAAATTATTAATGAAGTATGGTATCCCTACTGAGTGGATATGAACTTAAAATAAAATTTAATTAACTTATAATTTACAGAGAAATATAAAAATTTTGCAGAATTTAAAACCTATATTAAATTATAAACCTGAAAAGTTTCAGCTTTTAAATATGTATAGTTATTAAGCTGTTAGAAATTTTATACTCTTCAATAATGTGCATTAAAATAGAGCTGCACATTTTCCTATTTAATCATTGCATGTTCCTTACGTTCACTACTAAATCTCATGTGATGTATAAATATAAAAACAATGTATCAAGTGGTCAGTAACAGTCCAAGTTGAAGTAGTAAAAGGAACTATTAAGATATCTACATATATATATATATATATATATATATATATATATATATATATATATATATATATATATATACATCAACTCTCTCCTGTTGAATTTGATGTATGAGTGTCAAGCAGATCAGTTCCCAGGAAACTGACAGCCCAACAACAGCACATGAGATTTGATTATAGTGGTGAAGGCCTCGTGCAGGACCATTTACACTTTCTGAAGGGACGAATACAGAGACCTGGTGCACTACGTGCCACAAGGTCCCCAAACAACCCTCCGCAGGATTTGTATTCAGAGTTGTCCTTCTCCTAGACCAGTTGCCATCCAAGGCTATAGAACCCAGTCTGTCCTGCTATTTACCCATAGTTGGAGGGAGAAGAAGAGGATTCACACCTTTCCCAAGTGTATTAGCACATAAGTGAATGTAATGGATTTGACTGGAATTTGAACTCGGCTCTCCGATTCCTCAATCCAAGCTGCTTTCCATTACTCCACTGTGTCTCCTCCAATATATATATATATATATATATATATATATATATATATATATATATATATATATATATATATATATATATATATATATATATATATATATATATACACACACACACACACACATACAAAGACCAGTCTTTGTAAAAAGCTTAACTAAAAAAAAAATAAAAAAGGAGAAACAATTTTCATAAAACACCTCAATAATTTCTGGGATATAAATTTTTAGGCTTAAACACTATTTGCTTTCATATTTTCCTTTCCTTTTTCTTTGTGGCTGAGTTGAATATTTTTCTAAGACCAAATTTTTACTGCCTCATCTTCCACAATTTAAAAAGTTTGTTATAAAGATTTAAATCAGAAGTCTGAAGGTACAATGTTATTTATCTCCATAGAATTCTGTTTTTATTATTGGCAGTAATTTTATTAGTAGCATAATTAATATCACATGAGCCAATGGTCTCATAGCATAAATCTTATTTAAACTCAGAGTTTAAATGTAGCTGTTTCAAACCTGTGACTAATACCAACAATAGATCAGACTGTATGGAGCCATTTGATCAGGGGTGCACAACTGCTAACCCTGGGGGCCTTTTAGAAATTTTAAGTAATCCTACTGTGACCTTTTAGGCAAGGCTTGTGCAGCCATAGTGTCTTATATTACAATAATAATCATTCTATTTGATAACCAGTCATTTGGAACAATGAGAATGTTTCCTGTTTTCATTCATGTTGCAAATATTTTGCATGGACGTGCTTATTTTTCATTTCATTCAAAAGTAGTGAAAGAAAAGTAGAAATTATGGTCATAACAAAAAATAGTCTAAAAATATAATCTTGAAAAACGGTTTGAAATAGAGCAAGCTCAAACCAAAAGAAGAAAATGGAAAAGCAATGCATCTCCATCAAGGTCAAACTCATATTTTCCAAATTATGATATAAATTAGTAAAAATGATGTGGGGGATCAGTTTATTACTTAATAACAACAGGAAACTGGTCCCTCAGTGGTATCTCCTGTTGATATTAATTTACCCATGCCTTAAAAAAAAAATGACAACATTATTTGCAAAATACTATTTAACATCAAATGGAAATACTATATGACCAACACTGAAGTCCTGGAAAGAGCCAAAAGCATCAAATTGCTGATTATTAAACACCGTCTTTGATGGTCCGGACATGTAGCAAGAATGGAAGAGTCAATGATTCCATATCAAGTCTTATTCAGTGAGCTCACTTCAGGAAAAAAGACCACTGGGTTAGCCTCTTTGAAGATACGAGGTCCAACTCAAGACAACACTGAAAGCTGCTGGATTTGAGACTAACTCATTTGAAACATAAACCTGAGACCAGGCAGTGTTCCATCAGCATTGGAACCAAAAACTTCAAGGTTACCAGAAGAGAAAAGGAAAAAGTCAAATGACAAGAGAAAGGCTCAACAAAATCCATCTCGTCCTCCACCGATATTACTATGCAGTCAATGACATCAGTTCTGCCAGGCATGAATTGGTCTACTTAGTCATCAATGCCATCATTATAAAGGAAGTAATCAGCAGAGAAGGAATTACGTTCTTGGATACGAGATAAAGCCAATAACTATCGAGAAAGCTATTTTCTTGAAATATTGTTTAAAGAGAAAGATTTTATAAATTTCAATCAAGAACAGCACTGGCTGCTCACTCAATAAATGAGGAATGTTTCCTTTTAAGGAAATCAATAATATTATTTAAAATCTCTTAAATTAGAGTCATTAACACATTTTCCAATTATTATATTAATTTATAGTAATCATGTACTTAATAGAAAATTCAATACCCCACTTCATGCCCAATAGAATCTTAATATCAGTTTACACATGCATTAAAAAAAATTGTTAAAATTATTTACAGCGTATTATTTAAAATTTCTTACATTTGAATCATTAAACACGTTTTTCCAAATATTATATTAATATGTAGTAATCAAAAATCCAGAGACAAATATGCAATGTGATAGGTCCTGATCTGGCACCCAGTCTACAGTCACTTTCTTACAGACATGCCATGGCTTCCCTCTGTCTTTTCTACAAGTATTTTCATGGCAACTGTTCTGACGAGATACTTTCAGTGGTTCCCAGGCTGCATGAATATAAGCGAGCTACTAGGCTTGCATCTCGGTCTCACCCTTTCACTGTCGAAATAGTTAAATGTAACCATCTCTTCTACTCAAACAGCTTCTTCTCTTGCATTTCCCGACAGTGGAACTCCCTTCCTCTTACTTGCTTCCCTGATGACTATAATCTTCAAATATTCAAATGTAATGTCAATCGACATCTGATAACTTGATCTTGTTCCCCATCCTTCTTTGTTTCCTTTCCTTAAACACGCCTCTTTATTCTTGTTCTCAATCCTCTGTAACCCCTTGCATGCTAGTGGCATTCCCACTTTGCTTGGGGTGAAATGCTTTCAAAAAAAAAAAAAATCAGGTGGGAGATCAATCAATTACTTAATTACAATAAAAACTTGATCTTCCAATTTATGTTCATTTCAGTTTTATGTTAATTTTAGTTTACCCATGCCTTAACCAGCAAAGGTTTGATAAGGCACACAATGGCAACCATATGAAGGTGTGAAAGTGACTGAAGCCGAGATGCTAGAACAGGGCTAATAATATTGCTGATTCTTCTTTGGATTTTATCAAGGAGCTCTAAGGAGTTATTGATTGCATTGAGGAATACATTATCCTCGCCACTGACTTCAGTCTAGGAAGCCATCTGCCCAACAATGCTATGTTATCACCACACTGGCCACATCCATAGCTATGAAGACAAGACAAACCCATTGTGCTAAGTGGCTATTGACTCTACAATCACATTTATCAACTTTTTGACAGGTCTTAATTTTAATCCTGCTTGGTGTGTAACCAACCTCATTACTAGAAACATAGATTTTGATATGCTTTTAACCAACCAACCAATCATTACCAGGAAAGACTGGTGGGGGAACAGGTTCAGTTACTGGACCTGGTCAGGTGGCAGGTAGTACTGAGTTATACAAAACCAGTACCACTTGTAGAGTGATCTAACATAATTTATGAGTACTATGTTAGTGATCTCTATCTATAAAAGGCAGGAGGTGTGTGTGTGTGTAACGAATACACGGCCGCAATTTTCGACAGATTTGCACCAAAATTTACATGTACATGCTCCAAGTTAGTGGAAAAGCCAAGACTGACTTTGCATTTCCAAACTCCCATTGATAGTGGAAATAATTGATTTTTTCATGCTTCTACAGCAATTTTCATGTAGTTTGCGGCCATTCCATTTTTCCTTTCCATGCAAGAAAATTGAGGTCCCTGCCAAATCAAACATATTGAATGCTGGATTTGTGGTTTTGAATAGAGACATAATAGTATGACCAGTCTCAATATTTCAGGAAACTGGGTTGGGTGTGAAAAAGTATTTGTTGTTAACATTCTTTTTCATTCGGTTTTTCCAGTTACTGAAGTCCTTTTTAAAGCTGATCGTTTTGTGTTCATTTTGTTTAGTTCTTTTTTTCGTAACAGATTTAATGTTTAGTATAGAGCTTAGAAAAATTCGCAGTGTGAGAGAGGCAAGAAGTAAGGCATCTAGCAACATCAACACGAAAGGGCACTCCTTTAAAGGCAAGGAAGGGCAAAAATATTTTATGTCAAGTGATAGCGATTACTGTATGAGTTGTACGATTTTTGAGTCAAGCACGGGCAACGCTGCTTGTATTATATAATTATACCCACAAATAGAGATGGGAAACTAACAAACCCTGCTGTTAATATTGGAGATGATCTAATTGTTTTGCTGCCATGTTCATTTTGACTCAAATGTGATATGCAGGTCAACCTCATCAAAAGAGGAATGTTTTTGGACATTCAGTCTCACTTGTTACATATGTAAGCCTAGGATGTTCTCTTTATTGAATTTGTGACACACTTTGAACCGGTTTTGTATTATTAATTTCTCCATAAAGTGTTGCTCTTTCTAGATAAGACTTTAAATAAATTATCTGTGTGGATCGTCTAACAGTTCAATCTGTCTCACATTAATACTGAACAGGTGGACTCCATGAATTGAAACTGACAAGAAAATTCATCCTCAGTAATTACATGATTTAAGGCATATGACATAAATCCTGTGTCAATTATTTTTTCCAAATTATGAATAATCCTTCCCAAACAAGAAGGAAATTCTGTCAAGAATTGTCCAAAGTTCATTTTGGAAAAAAAATGTATAAGTAATATGGTTCAAGCTTTTGACTTTCTTAAGTCATGCTGAGGTTATGTAGACATAAATTTGCAAGTTTAATAGCATTTTAGAAATGGTGTCATGACCCAATGCCGTGAAGAACTTTTACTAGCTAAATCCACAGAATTACGTAATTATAAAATATATATATATATATATATGTATGTATGTATGTATGTATATAAAATACTGAATGTATTAATAATTCCATCATTTTTGTGGGTACTAGTTAGTAAACTATATAAGTAAGCAATGTTTGTAGAGAAAAATAAAATATATTTTCTGACCAATTAAAAGGCATCAATGAAAATCTTTCTCTGGAGTCTTTCAAAGATGTTTCCTGACCAATTAAAATGCATCAGTGAAAACCTTTTTCTGGAGTATATCAAAGATGTTTTCTGATCAATTAAAATGTGTCAATGAAAATCTTTCTCTGGAGCATATCAAAGATGTTTTCTGACCAATTAAAATGGATCAGTGAAAACCTTTCTCCATAATCTATCAAAGTATTTATAAATTGCAAATAGGTAAGAAAAGAAAAGTAATTCATCTAAAGCAACAAAAGGTTGATATCCTACAGCTACTCACTATCAAGGTAACCATTCACCTTTCAGAAACAATATGATTAGAAATGGCCAAATATGAATACCTGTTACATCCCACATGCATCGCAGCATGGCGCACACAACACATTTCCAAACGTACATTCTATTACTTCATGTATAATAAAATGAACTCAGTAAAAACAACCATTTCAAATATATATATATATATATATATATATATATATATATATTTTGTTGTGGCCTTGTTAAAGCCGGAAATAAAGACATAAAGAGAGGAATTGAGTAAAACAAATATATTAACAAAAACAGTAATACAAACATATATAAACGAGAGTGTTATAGCAAGAATGTTCGGTCCAACCATCAGAGCTGACTGCTGGAAACTTCCCTCTCCAAAAGGCAGTACCTGCTGCTATTTATAGCTGGGAGAGTCCATGCATGTGTGGGTAAATTACTGTAACATATATATATATATATATATATATATATACCTAGTGAGCCAGACAAACCTACCCAGGTTTCACCTAAGCGGATTGTCAGGGAAAGCTTTTACCTGACGATCAGCTTAGGTGAAACCTGGGTAGGTTTGTCTGGCTCACTAGGTTTATCTAGGTCTGCTCTATGGTTGTAGTGAGCTCTTTTGTTAGTTAGTTGTTTACTCGTGTCGGGGTTTTTTTCTTTGGGCTTCAAACCTGTATCTGTGCAATTTTTTTGACAGACTTTCATGTTCCTGGCTCTTTCTTTTTTTAAAACCTTTTTTTCCTTTGAGATTGATTTGATTATTGGCAAATCAAAAATTCGAAGGTTTTTTTGAAACGAGTATAGTTACCTATATATATATATATATATATATATATATATATATAATTCCCTTGTTTTCATGTTGCCATCTGTTCTATTCAGTTTGGTAGTTCATGTCTGTTCTGTTGAATTTTGTAGTTCATAACTTGGAGACACCAATGTGTCACGTTTGTCACCAGCCAACACTGAACTCAACATGCTATAATAATAATAATAATAATAATGCAAGTGATATCTCGTACATATATATGTATAAAGCTGAATCAAATTGGCTTTATGCATTAGGATTGTTCTATGTGCTGTGTCCTTTCAGGATGTTGGTAATTATGGCTCTCCACAATTTCCTGTTCTTTGTAGCTCTTAATAAATTTTGTCTTTTTGTTATTTCTCCTAAACCTTGTTCTGCTATCCATTTACTTAAGCTTTCTAGTGAGGTTATATACTGTTTTCCTCTGCCCCTCTTGCTTTCAAAATGCACTGTGTGTAACAGATTTTCCAAGCCCTCTTACCTCATTATATGCCCCAAAAACTTTCTGGTAAGTATAAGTATTCTTTTTGTTTCTATTTTCTTTAAAACTTTGCCATTGCTCACATGTTCAGTCCATGGTATTCTGAGCATACTTCTGTAGAACCACATTTCTGTTGCTTCAAATATCTGCTTCATCTATGAGGAGATTGTCCAAAATTCAGTCCCATATATGTGGATTGATATTACATAGCAGTTCAGTAGTCTTTTCTTTATTTCTAAGTAAATTTTCCTGTTTCTTAATACTCTGTATAGCTTTTGGAAGGCATCTTTTGCTATTCCAATGCACCCTCAAAGATCAGTTTCACATTTTCTGTTAAAACACTTCTTTGAAGAGATTTAAATTGTTGCATTTGTTTGAAATTGGTATCTCCAATATATGCCGAAATTCTAAATTTAAAGTTAACTATCCCCGTATCTTTAGCATTTCTCAATATAAAATTATAACTGATGTTTTTTTATATTTTCTTTTTTCTGCTAAACTTGTTCAAAATACATCTGTCTATATTTCTAAGATGAAGTATTGTAACTATCATATTCATAACATTTCAGCCAGTGTACGTTCTGGCCTTCTTCAGGTGATATGTATTGGAATTTCAAACGAAACTCTTTATTTACTGCACTGGGGTAGATTGTTCTAGTTCCACGTGCCATGCCTTTTCTGGATATCCCAGTTTCAGTTATCTCCCTTTTAGTAATGCACCTCTCCAAGTTTTTGCTCACCTCTGCTATGATCAGGTATTGAAATCACAACTCTTTTTTTCAATTAGTTCAACCACTGGGCCATTTGTCCTTGGGGAGTTGAACTTGTTCAAAATATAGTAAAGAATTATAAAAACATATTAGAACTAAATGATTGCGCAAGCAATAAAGAGCCAAGTCAGCTTTGAAGATGCTTCTAAGGTTTTCTGAACATTGTGCTAAAGATGGCACTGCAATCTTTTTTATATTAACCTAAAATATAAAGGTAATTTTGAAAATCATTCTTGTAAGTAATCAATAATTGATTAACAAATAAGAATTGTTTTTTGGGGTTTTTTTTTTTTTTTTAAATATTTTAGTGTTTATAATAAAATCAACCACAATTCTTAGTTGTTTGTCAATTATTGATTATTTGTAAGTATGTATTTTGCAATTTTGCTTTATAATTGTCTGGGGGGAAAAAGGTTCTCGTGGTTATTACTTATTTGTAATTTATTTGATTTTATACTATTAGAATATTTTCAGTTTTTAAATAGAAGACATTTACAGAAGGAAAATAATATTTTCCAGTTTCAATAAAAGTTATTTCTTTTGTTCTTTCGTTTTGTTTTATTTTAGACAGCCATTAAACAGTGTTAGCTACAATGTAAATTACATGTTCTCTGAACAAATGATCTTACTACACAAACCATTTCTTTTAATAAGCAACTGTATTCAAATTTGAATATCATGGTCTAGCAACAAAGTATTGGCATCGATATAGATCTATATTTAAATTATTTGTATTTAGACAGTAAATGTTCTTTAAGGCAAATATTATTAAAGACAACAGACATTTTGTGTTGATTAATTTTATTGATCGACTTTTCCAAATTATAAATAATCTTTCTCAGATGAGGAGGAAATTCCATCAAAAAAGTTTCATTTTGGAAGAAATATCATCCAAGCTTTCAACATCATCAGGTTAGGTAGAGTCAAATAGTGAATAGGAATTGGTGAGTGTAGGGACATAGGTAAACAGTGTTGTGATATAGTTGATGTGTGTGTGTTTATTTTATTTTTTTCTTACATACATTTAAAGATGCAGGCTCTTAAATTAAAATTGTTTTTGCTTTTATATACACTTAAGAAAATCAAAATCTTGGTTTGCATTTCTTCCCAAATGAGCTTTGGACAGAATTTCTTCCTTATATGAGAAGGATTACTCATAATTTGGACAAGTTGATCAATAAAATTAATAGATGTAAAATGTCTATTGTCTTTAATAACATTTACCTTATATATATATGTGTGTGTGTGTGTTTTATCAATAAATATTGTTTTGTGTCATTTCCTCTTTAGCCAGATTACCCTGAAGATTTGTTTAGGTGAAACCAAGGTAGGTTGTTCCTGGCTCTTTAGGATTTATTTTATTTATCCCAGCTCTACTTAGCGTATTGAGCACTCTATGTTTTAGCTTTATTACTTGATGGGTTTTTTCTTTGGACTAGAAACTTAAGGACCTGGACGATTTATTTCACCCTGTTCATATGTTTCTGTTCTTTCTTTTTTTTTTCCAATTTTTTCCAATTTTGTTTTGATATACTCACAAGTTGTGCTATCCAAGGTTTTTCCAACCAAGTATTACTATTAGTATATACATATATACATACATACATACATATATATATATATATATATAATCTGCCTCACATATTTATCTAATATAATAGGTACTAAATAGACCAGTATGAGCATTATACTTAAACATCACATTTCTTTAAGCATTTTTTTTTTTTTTTAAGCGTTTCACTCCAAGCAAGGTGGGAAACCACTAGGACACAAGGGATTACAGAAGATTTGGAGCAAGATCAGATAGGAGTGATAGAGGAAAGGATGACGAGTAGGATAGTGGATAGATCAAGACAACTGGAGATGTCGATTGACATTGCATTTGAATGGTTGGAGATTATAGGGAAACTGGAATAGGGAAGGGAGTTCCACAGGCGAGAGGTGCGAGATATGAAGCTATTGGAGTAGAAGAGGCAGCTACATTTAATAGTTTTGACAGTGAAAGGGTGAGAGCAGGATGCCAGCCTCGTAGGATGCTTGAAATAAAAATAGCAGACCATTGTTTTATTTTGCTCACACATATCTTTTCAATGACAGTCAACTGCGTAAGTACTGGTTTGAATATGTGCCATATGTGATCACTGACATTAGTAATGCAGTTATCCTACAGCTGTTGTCAGTGTGATTTAAGCAAGTCTAAAAAAAAAACAAAAAAAAAAACAAGATAAAAATAAAATTAAACAAAATACATTATTGTTGTATAAAATTCATGCCAGGAAATACTCAATAGACTAAATTGTATTTGTTTTATTTTAGACAGCGAAATGAATAGTGTCAGCTAAAATGTAAATTACATGTTTTCTGAGCTAGTGATCCATGTACAGTGTCTTTTTTTATAAACAACTGTACTCAAATGTGAATAAATCATAGGTGATTGCACTTGACATCAATATGGTTTAAACAACTAGAGAAAGAAAAACGTCAAATTAAACAAAATCTATTACTGTCGCATTTGATTCAGGAAGTACTAGATTTTCTGAATTGAATTTAATGCCAATAAGGAACCTACATTTTCAGAGAAATTGATCTGGTCTTCCCTTAATAGATACTAAAGTAGACTTAGCAATCAGTATTACGCCAGATCATCAGAAGAGAAATCTAAAACGGTTCCTTCATAGCCTCCAAGTGCAGATTTGCTCCTCACAGAACGTCAGTGGCAGACACTTACATGTGAACAGGTGGTTGACCTAGCTATGCTAAGGATATGCACACATGAGGCAATCAAATGGCAGGAAGATATATAAACATCTAACCCAAGAGGGAAATAGCAATGAGTTTCTCACATCCTTGCAAGAAGATCCATAATTGAAGAAAGCACCCAAATCCACACACCTTAATTCTGGTATTAATTGATGAAGTTCAGAGAAGAATAATCAATAATTTTTACATATGAAAGATTTAATCTTTTGTTTTTGTTAGGCTTAACAATTTTACTTTACTAAATAAGTTATTTTCCATTCCATAAAGCAATTCTACAAGTTCTATGAGGTTCAGTTATATTGAAATGTCTTTCATTGTATTTATTAAATTCAAATATTAAAAATTTAAGCAATAACTCAAGCAACTTGAGAACTAATTCATGTATAAAAAATGTCTTTATTTTCTTTTTATTAGACCTAAGCCAAAAGAATTTAAGCAACTGAAAGCAATACCAATTCTTATCCCAGAATTAAGCAACCTGAGAACTATTCAAAACCCTAAGTCCCTTATAAAAATTATGTATTAGGTTATGCTTCAAGACAATTGTATTAGAAGAAACAACCTTGAGACAAGGTTAGCTACATTTGTTGCCAACTTTAGCAGCTGAATTATAAACAGGTCCATTAGCAGAAGAAAGAGAAAACTGGTTTTATGATTGGGTCATGGGTATTTTTTAAAGCTTTTAACTGCTCTGTCTTTTCTGACTCTCTTGTAGTGTTTTTACCTTTCATTCTCTCCTCATTCTCTTTTCTACTTCTCCTCATATATTTTCTCTTTCATTCTTTCATCCTCTCTTCATTCTCTACCTCTCCTGTTATAATTTTTTCTTTCTTTCTTCTCTTCATTCTCTTTTCTTTTCTACTTCTCCTGTTGTACTTCTTTCTTTCTTTCATCTTCTCTTGATTCTATTTTACTACCTCTCATCATATACTTTTTCTTTCTTTCTTTCATCCCCTCTTCATTCCCTACCTCTCCTCTTATATTTTTTATTTCTTTCATTTTCTCTTCAGTCTCTTTTCTTTTTTTACACCCCCTCTTATACTACTTTTCTATTTCACCATTTTCTTTTCTTTCTTGCTTCTCTTGTTTTATTCTTTCTTTCATCCTCTTTTCTTTCCTACATCTCCTCTTATATTCTTTCTTTCTTCTTCTCTTCATTCACTTTTCTTTTTTACCTCTCATCATATACATTTTCTTTCTTTCTTTCATTTTCTCTTCATTCTCTTTTCTTTTCTACAGCTCCTCTTATACTACTTTTCTTTCTTTCACCATTCTCTTTTCTTTCTTGCTTCTCTTGCTATACTTTTTCTTTCTTTCTTTCTTTCTTTCATCCTCTTTTCTTTCCTACATCTCCTCTTATATTCTTTCTTTCTTCTCTTCATTCTCTTTTCTCTTTTCTTTTTTTACAGCCCCTCTTATACTACTTTTCTATTTCACCATTTTCTTTTCTTTCTTGCTTCTCTTGTTATATTCTTTCTTTCATCCTCTTTTCTTTCCTACATCTCCTCTTATATTTCTTCTTTCTTTCATCTTCATTCTCTTTTCTTTTCCCCAGCTCCTCTTCATTTTTCATCCTCTCTTCCTTCTTTCTTTTGTACCTCTCTTCTTATATTTTTCATTCGTTCTTTCTTTCTTTCATCGTTCTCCTTTTACTTTTCCCACCTTTGACAATTCTTAGCTTCCTAATATGCTTCTCTTACATCACCATTTACCTTTCTGCCTACTTTCCCATCTTAACCTTTCTGATTCCTACCCATTTCCTTCCTTAAGCTGTCAGTAATTCTGGCACCTGCAGACTCAGTGTCCATTTGTAGCTAGGCTTGATATACCTCTTTCTGTTGCTTATAAGGGGGCTTAATTCTTCTAAATGCCTTTAATGCAACAGGGGGCTCTTTTGTTGCCAATAAGAAGGCACTGTATCTTTTTCGGTTTGCACTTTTTTGATGAGGTCAAAGCATTTCTAAATCAGAAGGCAATAATAAGCATCCATGAAAAAAAAAAAAAAATAAGAGAAATTGCCTCAACTGATTTCTCAAAAAACTTCTTTATTCATCAACATGGAACGAACAATGGTATTTATAGAATTAGTGATATGAAATGAAAAATTACCAAAGGGAAATAAGTTATCTCAGTGAAAAATGACCAGTTTCTAGATAGATCAGTTTTGAGGCAACTCGAATGTTTCTTAGTCTTATCCCCATTTCTGAAATATCTTCAGAATAAATTCTGTGAGTAATCTTCACAATCAAAAATTTTCTCAATATTTGCACAGATTTCTGTGTCCTTCAGAATGTTGATGATCATGGCTTACCAAAATTTCCTAGCACTTGTAGGTCTTAATAAATTTTATCGTGTCTCTTTGTTTTTTTTTTACTCATGCCCTCCAGATAGTTTATGCATTGTTTACCTCCATCCCTCTTGCCTTCAGTCTGTCCTGTGAGTGTAAAATTTTCTAAGCCTTCTTTCCTCATTATATGCCCGAGAAATCTCAACTATCTCTTCCTGATTTTAACTATGAGTGTTCATTTTGTTTCCATTTTGTCTTGAACTTTGTCATCACTCCCATGTTCTCCCCATGGTATTCTCAGCATCCTTCTGTAGTAACACATTTTTGTTGCTTCAAGATTCTTCTTCATCTGTGAGAAGATTGTCCAGGTAATTATTATAAAAGTTATTTGAAGAATAATATTCAAGAAAAATATAAATCCCTGGAAAGAAAATGTAAAGATTTACATGATAATAGTGTAGTATGTGACTCCCTTCAGATGATGCTAAAAATAGAATTTGCACTCAGTATTCATCAGAGAAGACAGGTGCATCAGAAGGTTGATCAGATCCACCCTTCACCAAATGTGAATGGATACTATGACATGTAAACATGTGGTTGACCCAGCTGCACCCAGTATGTGCACATGGTGGAAAAACCATATGATAGGCAGATATATGAACAACCATATAAGGAAAAGAAAGAAAAATGTTTCAAATTCAACACATTTCATTCAAAAAGAAAACTGCTTTTCACAGGATCATACACATATATAAAATGCATATATGTTAATGTGATGAGAATGATATACACCACTGAAATATCTTTACCTTCAGAAGCTGTGTTCATGAAATTTAGAAGATTTCATTCTGGTTAAATTTGCACATTCCACAGTAGTTGTTTTCAGATTTTGATTCAAATTTTATGTTTCTTTTACTCCTACAAAAAACTGTTCGGACAGTTAGTATATTATGAGGCAAAGATATCTATACACACACAAACACATATGAATTTATGTGCGTAAATTAATATAATATATTGCCTATAGAGTGCTGGTGTTAAAATATTGCTTGAGGTAATGTGACAGCGCTATTAAGTATATATTAATAAATATAAATATTACCCCTCACTGAGAGCATTACTAGACCAAGCCCCTGAAGATTGTGTTTTGCATGAAACTCACTACTGCTAAGGGATTATATATATATATATATATATATACATGCTTATGCATGCTAAAGGAGAGTGATTTCTGTAGTTTACTGCTACCAGCAAAACGGAAATAGTTCTTCCCCTGATGATGGCCATTTTGGCCGAAACTAGTCGAGAAATCTAAATGAAATAATAATAAAAAAAAACGAAAGAATATTAATCTACAACCCAGTGTGTCTGAAGATTTTAATTTTTAATATTTTTTATTGTTCAAAATATATATATATATATATATATATATATATATACACACACACACACACACACACATATATATATATATATATAAAGTGAACATAGAAGTCAACATTAGGGGCGGCAGTCTGTTTCATGCTATATGCAATCGTCAGGCCTCCTGACGATTGCATCTAGCATGAAACAGACTGTCTCCCCTAAGTGTTGACTTCTATGTTCACTTTATTTTACACTCTATCTCTGATATTGAGCACTTTTATCCCATAGCACACCTTAAGACTATATTTCTTTATATATATATATATATATATATATATATATATATGATGTATTTGTACCTTTATTTATATATGTACGATGTGTGTCTACATTAGATATATACACACACATCAAAAACTGACTTTCTTTGTAAATATTAGTTCCTATATATTTTGCTATATATGACGTTATATACATATATGTGTGTATGAAAATGCATTTTGCTTGGAGTTGTCATTCTTCTTTTTCATAATTTTTAACACCAGATGTGTCATGAAAAAACATGAATAAATACTATTTAAACTCTTATATATATATATATATATATATATGTACCATAGATACATATATAAATGTATATAGGCTGTGTGTGTGGATATATAAATATGTGTGTGCATTCAAATATGTGTTAATCCATTGTGAACAATACAAAGCATTAAAAATGGAAATTATTTTTTATATATAAAATGCTCTGTGATTCTTCTGACTATTTTTCTTTTTAATCTTTTGTAAGATTTTTATTTTGAATTTCTTTTTCAATTCAGAGCCAAAGATGGGAATCTGTTATTTGTACATTAGTGTTACCAAAGAAATGTAACAAACAAGTTCACTTCACTTAGTATTTCACCCTTAAAATCATTTTAAAAGTTTGAAATATCTTCTAACTCTATTTGACTTATTCATATTTGAACTTATATTTCACCTTTGTTTTGTTATCACAATGTTTCAGCTATTGTGCCCCCCACCCCCACCTGGTCTTATTCAGCTATCTGTTAGTCTGGGTAACCTTAAGGAAATTTCAATCTGAACCCTTTCAGTGAAAGTTACCAGAGTAACATTGTTGTATACACTAAAGTAGGGTTATTTCAGTTTAAGGATGAGAAGAAAAAAAAACATTGCTTAACTAATAAACATCCACATGTTTTCTTGGAAATATATTGTATTTCTGAAATACAATATATTTCACACGGCTAGTTGATGGTTATGTCCCATGAAAAAATTAACAGTAAAAATAATGTAGCAAAGTCTTTTCATTGGTCTTTCGATTGACTAATCAGGAAGAACCAAGAAGCTGGAGGAACACAGCACATAAAGAAGACCTCAATCTCAGGAGTAGGCTAGAGTTAATCCCTGATGACTGAAGTGTCATCTGGAGGAAAAATGTTAAGGAGGCTGGATTATTTTTGGTTTCTGGTCTCTTGTATGTGTGGGACCTCCCCTTTGTAGAATCATCCTTGTGCCTCATTCTCTTTGAGTTGTTGTTCAGATAAATTCCACTTCTACAAAGCCATAGTGTTCCCATATCTCTATCTATGAAAGCAACTAGTATATATTCCTGGAAGCAAAAGTGTTTAAATCCTACCAAAAGCATATCTGTTATTTCCAATCTGCTTGTTCTCATAAATAAAGTTGTAAATAAATTGATGAGTAAAGTTACGATGAAAAGCAAATAAAAATTAGGATGAAGAAAAGTACAAATCAAAAATTTTTTAACGGCGGAGGTTTTTAACTTTGTTTCAAGCATTTTCACTCTAATGTCATAAAAGCATTTTTAAATTATATTATATTATAGCAACTTATTATTTTACATTCTAGCAACATATTTTTGTTTATATTTCTGAGATGAGGTATTGTAATTATTTACATTATTTACATCGTTGTTCTCATCTTTATTGTCATATTAAAACAATGTTTCAACCATTGTTTACTCTAGCCTTCTTCAAAAATGGCTACTGAGACATCAGGTTTATAAGTCCCAAAAATTCATACACTGATGTCCTTAAGGATATTTGGCCCAGTGGATAAGAGTGTTGGTTAAATCTGGTGACTTGACCCAAAGTTCAATACCTGGCTACTGCAGTGGTGAAAAAAAAAACTTGGGGAGTTGAGTTAAAGGGAGATAAATGAAACATCCGGAAGAGCCATGGCACGTGGAACTAGAACAATGGGTGAAATAAAGGGTTCAGTTCAAAATTCCAATTCCTGAAGAAGGCCGTAACTTACAATGACAATATGACAATAAAGATGAGGACAACAGTCAAAACAATGTAAATAATGTAAACTTATTTTTAAATAGCAGTTATGAAGGTGGTATTAATAATGATGTACTATACTAATAGTTGGTATTTTATTACTTCAATGTTATTTTTAGTCAATACCACTATTTGAGCAGACACTTAGTTTAGTTATTAAACAGTATATTTATTTATTTTTGTTTACCAGCCTGAGAATTTTAAAGAAAAATATGCACTCTCTGGAATGATTCAAATCTGTTTCCTGCTTTTACAGGAGAAACCCTTGTTAGATCTGATGTGCTTTAGACTGTCTCTCAGCCACTGAGTGCCTTGACTATCAAGTAATTTTGAATAGTGCTTTATAAATGCAAATCTTTCAGACTCTCAAAAAATCCATATCTGCTTGGTTCCATATCCTAATGTAAACAAAGCAATTTCTAAAGAAGTGATGGATTTTTTTTTAATTAATCCAACAGATTTTATTACTTAAAAGTTATTTTTAGTGGATACCCATATTTGAGTAGACACTCCATTTATTGATCATCGATGCATGTTTAAGTAATAAAATCTGTTGGATCAATAAATAAAAATTCATCACTTCTTTAGAAACAGCGGATATCAATATTCCCAAACACAACCTAATTTAAACAATATACTAAAATTGAAAAAGACAGTTTAGTTGTTTACTCAAAATGGCTGAATAGCTTGCAAAGGTCAGAACATGTTTCTTTTATCTCAGTGTATTTATTTTCAAAATGGTTGTTTGGTTTGTTTTATGGCAAATCAACTTCAATGGGTTATTTAATGCCAAGAATTTTAGGAT